GTTTAATAGACACCCTTCAGCATCTTCAGCCGTCGCCACTTGGGGTGTCAAACTGTCGACGTGAGAGTTGAGACATTAGCATCCCTGGAGGATAGGGATTGTTTTGTGTGTTAAATAAACACAATATGAACAATATGATTGCAAAAATCTGAACAAAAACAACCGTTGCTGTTTTTGTTAGTATGAAAATAATGTGGGAAACAAACCGTAACAAAAACAGAAAAGGACAGGTGACAAGAATACACAAGGAACATGACAAAACTCATAGTGTTGGTGCATATATTCTCCAAAATTGTGCTTTCTCAGTGCATTATTTCATGAATGAATTCATCATATTCATATAGTGTATTTCTTCAGAAAATACAACAAAATCAATCCATAGCAAGCTCCAGGTATACCTCAACATGAGAGACACGTCTTTGTCGTTGGTTTGGATCGAGTTGTTTTGACGCCTGCGGTCATGGCGATCAGGAACTGCTGGATACGCTTGGATCCGGCCCGAGCCGGGCCCTATCCACTCCATGGGACTGCCATAGGACTGCCGCCCCAGACAGACCCCCCTGGCAACCACCCCAACGGCCGTTTTGAAGGCAGTCCTATGACAGACATGGAGTATCTGGGTGGGTCGAAAAGAGGTCGGGATTTCACCCGCCCTCTGTGACGTCAGAGTCTCTGAGAAACACCGTCTGTGCGTCTCTCTTCGCACGGGGAGAGGTATTGAGGGATCGGCCGCGGAACCCGCAACAAACCGCTGAAGCTCTCAATCCAGAGGAGCACGGGGGGTTCGGGTTCCAGGTTCAAAATCAGAACTATTTGTCACCACACTGCCACACTGTCAGGACGGTGATTGGATGGTAGAGATATGGTCGAGAGATGGTAGAGATAGGGTCTCAAAACATCTCAAAACCACCCGATGGGATGGCTGGTGCTGGGTATGATGAAGATAAGCTTATGGGACCAGCATCAACAGTGTTCGTTTTATCATTTGTAACTTGATTAGTCTTTACCCCATTGACCTCATTGTTTGGAATTCATTACTCCGACCTTGAGAAACATCAACCACTCTTGGGTCTTGGGAGCTTTTGCACAATTGTTTCAATTACATTCCCCCGGATTAACCGCCTACTTACTAAGTGATACCCCCCATGTTGTTGCAAAGATTCCATGGATTTACTCCGGTTTAGACCCAGGGGTATAATGGGTATATAGGTGAGCAACTACGCCTGGAAAAAACACATCCTTCCAGTAGTCACAGAGCTCGGGGTTTCCTTCCTGTCGCCCCTCTGTGAGTGGATGACAGGGGATCCTCCAAGTTCGTTCAGCACCAAAAGAGCTCTGTGACTCCTGGTTTGAGAATCTATGAAGGCTCCAGTCCCTAGGGATCGACATACCTTCTCAGGAGGTACGACTGGGCCCGAACATGGCGCCTACATAAATAGTCTCCGTCCTGTACCTGACGTTCGGTATGACTGAATCCCTAAGGAGTGAATGTGCCAATACCCATGCTCTTTGATCAGTCCGGGTCTATGACGTCCGTTCGAACGGACCGTTCGATCGGACTCACCGGGAGTCGGTCCCAGACGGTCTGACCGGGTGGTGGTCTGGCACGGCTGGGCCACTTCTCTCATGGCCGGTCCAAACCGGGCGGGGTCTCATGGCCTCAGTGTTGAAAGGTTAGAACTTGGTTTTGGCTTACACCGCCATGTATGAACCGATGTGACTTTACACCGCCTCAAGATGTGAGTGTTAAAAATACCGGGCGCAGCCTGTATGGTGCACATGATAGACACGACCCGGCGCTAGTGGGCGTGGAGCCTTTGTGATGAAGGCTGGGCCGCTTTTCAGCTCTCGGTCTCGCCGAGAACTTGCAAAGGTGAATCCCTCCGCCACATCGGCGCGTCCTTGCTGGAGCCTTATCGCCACTGAGCAGAACATTGATGACATTCAAGCATTAAACATGGGGTGCTTGATTCTTGGAGTCCTTTCGTTGCTACCTTTCAATGTGTAGCCAAACATGTTGGAAGCTTTGATCCTGAACGCACTTGTTTGTAACATGTGTTGCTGAGCCGGCCTTCGCCCCAGTGCAAGGGATCCTTCGCGTTTGAACCAAAACCTGTCGCCATGTTCGGGCCCAGTCGTACCGAACCTGAGGTTCGGTGGCAGTGGATCCCTAGGGATGTGAAAAGCTTTGCTGCTCGGGGGACGATGTGGCAGCAAGACGAATTGAGGAAAAGAGTTTGAACGGCTGCGGCAGCAAGAGATTCGCGACTTGAAACGACAAGAAGCGCAGTGACCTGGCTGGAAGGAAGGCTATAAATTCAGGCGAAGTGGATTTTACATGGTGTTTTGTCGGTGAGTCAGGCGGAGCAGACTGCCTTGCCGGACTAGATTGTTGTCTCCATGTAACTCCGGGATGATGTTGGCCCGTTCTGGCCGCTCATGCGGCCATTCTTTCCTGGATCACGGGGTGGATCATTTGCCCCGGCAGTGGGGTTCGATCCAACGACCTATATCACATGCCGAAGGGGATCCATATCCCTATGTAGGCCTCCAGTCGTACCGAACCTGAGGTTCGGTGGGACTGGGGTGGGTGCCAGGAGGGTCCAGTCATACCTTCTGAGGCATTGGAGGTGTAGGGTAATATAGGGACAGGCATCCCGGCATCCCTCCAACAACCATTCCTTTCGGAACCCAGTTGGAGTTGGGGGCGTTCGGACGTGTCAAGCGACACCGAGAGTGTTCGAAGCAAGAACAGAGAGACGTTGGATCGAGATGGCGTGTCACTAGACATGGAGTCCAGATGTGTTTGCAACCAACCCAGGTTTTCAGAACCCGAAGTCCACTATTTCATTGGTACCCCTTTGGTGACGGGTCCGACAGGGACACGGTCTGTTTGGACTCTGTAGCTGTGCAGCGGGTTCAACGAATTCTCAAAGCTTCTTGTTCTGGATCCAACGATCGTGGTCTTCGTCCCCAAATAGAGAGCATGGCACGATGTTCCAATACTTGAAGTGGAGATCTACTGTGGAGATCTATCTGGGGATCATCATGGTTAACCAATCTCTTTGGGCCCGGGCCTACCTTTGTTTGTGACAAGCATGATGTTGCATGTGTTTTTTGTTAAATTATATACTGAACTGAATGTGAACATGAAGGATTTGCACTGGACAATGCCTGGCAGCTTGTAGACTTGTATATAGATGGAAGATGATGGAAGTCTTCATTTCTTTGCAGAGTTCCCCTTCATAATGCATGCCATATCTTTGCCGAGAAACGGCCACGGGTGGTGAGTTTGGTGTATCAATGGGGGTGGTGAATGAGGGCAGTCCCAGACGGGTCGTGTGGATCCGTTTGGGTGGATCAGGGGGACGGTCGTGCTTCAGTAAGAAGCTTACTTCATCCACATGAAATATGTGTTTGGGGTTTGGGGTTCACCAAGACTTTAGTATAATTGCATGTATTGCATGTATCTTCATCTCCATACATCCACCTGACTCATTTGCGTCCTCATCATGGCGATCCACTCATCAGACGCCTCATCATCCCCCCTTGCTCTTCCCTGCGCTGCAGGGAAGAGCAACGACGACGTGAGCAGGAGCAAAAGGCACTGCAAGAGCACCGAATCCAGGAGACCGTTTGCAGATGGCACCGGATGGCACTGGATGGGAACCAGGCGACCCGAGGGGTTCGAAGGTGGGTGGAAGCACCGATTCTGTGATTCACAGTGGTCGTACCGAGGCGACCGAACCTGTTTGGTGAACAAGGAGACACCTGTGATGCAGCCAGGTGCCTGGGTCGGGTCTCGTACCGAACATGAGTTTCGGTACTTGGATCTTTTGGGGGAAGCAAACATACACTCCCAAAAACTAACATAAGCCCTGACAATGGCCCCCTGGGTCCGAGTGTTTTCCTCTACCAACCAGTGGTTTTCAGGGTCCATGTTAGTCTTCCAGGGTGTACCTCAAAGAGACGGCTGAGACTTCGAGACATGTTTTTCTTGCCGAGACTTCGAGACGAGCAACGACTGTGACAGTCGACGAAGCGTGAGGCGTGAGCGTTTCGGAGGATTCATCGCTCCCCAAAAAGGGGATGAAGTATAGCTTGGTCCCCTAAACCCTAAACCCTACCCCTTTTGACGAGTAGCAGTGAAAGGAAGCTTGAAAAAACACATGAACTCTAGAATAAGAGGCTTTAGACTTTAGACAAATCCCAGAGGATTTAAACATAATTATATAAGATAAAAATGAGAAAAGAACCACATAACAAGGAATAGCAAACAGACAAGGAACAGTCCCATCAAAAGAAGGAAATGTCGGGCAAATCAAGGAACACCCCCAGCAAAACAAAGAAACAAAGAACAGTCCCAGCAAATGTACAAACCCCTGAGATTTGGGCACAAACGACGGCAGATGGTACTATACCACTACTTACTGCTGTTGATATATTAATAGATTTAAGCACGTATTACAGTTACCTATGAGCTATACTATACAGATTTGGGGTTCCATCTCCAAGGGTGTAACATCAATCAAGGAAACAACCAGTGTTTCGTTTTCGTGTGAGGAGCTACAAGAGCTTCAGGGACAGCACTCTGACCCTGAGATGCAGCGTGCCATTGAGTCTTTTTCAGAGTTTGAGCAGTCGTGGATTGGAGTTTTTTGATCGATCCAAGCGGGATTTGAAAGTTGACACATGCCACTGATGCCACTATACAACACCCTGACTGCTGACGTTTTTTTTTTTTTCTGCTACGACAGAACCGGTTACTAGTACTACAGCTAGACTGCTACTGCTTTTGCTGCAGCTAATCCACAAGCTTCACCGCCAAGCAAACGACCTCGTAGATATCTCGTATCGTTCAGTCCTTCTCCACTCTGCCGGTGAAGGTCTCTTTTTGGGGGGTGAAAGGAGAAGATCGCTGGGAGATGAAAACTAGAGACTTGGAACAGAAATCCAACTGCCCAAGCGTTTTCCATGGACAAAACACCCTCATGTGTTGGTATTCGGATGAAATCCACTTCCATAATCAGGGACCCTAGGCCTCCAAGTACCTTCTGAGATGGTGTTTGGGGTGGGTTTGGAGGATCCAAATACCTTCTGAGGAGGCACTTCGAGGTGTAGGGGGAATGTAGACAACCAAATTCCTGCACGGGATGAATTGCAGGATGAACTGCGGATAAGAACGAGGCAGGCACCTGGTTTTTCACATGACCTGGTTTTGCTGGACTCTTGGAGCTTGATTTCCGTATAGATCCCAACCACTCCATGGGACTGGAATATGAACCTACATTGGGGTGGTTGGCCCGGGGTCAATGGGGCGGCATATATTCCAATCCCATTAGTCGTGTATGGGGATGGGTCAATCCCCATCGGAGCGTTATGCTTGGACGAACTCCCGGGCCCAGGAGCTGGAGATGAACGAACTCCAGGCGCCGGAGCCACCCGAACTCGTGGGGCGTGGCGTTTTATATTGGCCTCCAGCTAGGGGAGAATCCAGGTGAAGGGTACATCAATTAGATGATCTTGGAGTTTCAGCTTGACGCGGTGCGCAGCACAAAAAGTCAAAAGATTCCCAAGCTGTGAAACCATTGAAAGAGGCAAGAAGAATCTCATAATGTGATATAATGTGATCATATGGTCATATGGTCCCCTCAAGTCCTCAAGCCATCATGGTCTCACGCCAAAAAAAGCGTCAGGCTATACCTCGAATCAGCTGGTAGACCTTGTTGATCGCACGTTCCCGATGTCCTGAATGGACTTGGACCAATCGATCGAGACCGGAGATATCTTCTTCAATCCCAGATGTTTCATCAGGTTCTTCTGAAAGGTGTCATAGCTCGCACCGCTTTGAGTCCGACCATGGTCTCAGTCTATTTGAAAGGATGAATAACACAAACCGTTTAGACAACAGTGCATTCTTCGCAAGGAAGTCGCTGGCTCTTCCAGGCTTTTCTGGATCGAATCCTGAGGATGTTTGGAGGCCACAGTGGATCAAGAGTCAGATCCCACCTGGGGACTTCCAACCACCCAACAAATTGGTGTCCAATGCCTTTTTAACTTGTAGACTGTTGACTGTTGATTCATAAGACCCCCCACAATTGGCTCGAACCTCCTCTTCATGTGGGAGGGCTTTTATTCATCAAGAGTCATGATCAAAACCGCTGTCATCTTTGGGGCTCAGCTGCTCCGGAGCCGGTGTGCCAGGCGCAAGTCTCCTCTGATTGGCCACCTGCCGGAGGCCTTGAGGCCGGGAGCCTCCCGGCAGGCTGCGAGGTCCCGAAGCGAGGAAACCGCGGCCCTTCCCAGACACTCCAGATACCCAAACACTCCATGTAAGGAATATTAACCACATTGGGGTGGTTGAGCCGGGGTCAATGGGGCGGCATATATGGCAGTCCCATGGAGTGTTTATACATTTGGGGTGGATTCAAGACGTTTCAAGGCTGAACATGTACAACAATTCACAACAATCTAAACCATACCAGGACCCGGGTCAAGAGGTGTCTAGCCTCGTAAAGAGGTGAGTCCGGGTGTCCAAATCCTGGTCCTTCTGGTGATATGGTTGGAGCCCTAGCAAAATCTAGCAAATACAGTATATACCATGCATGGTAGGTAGGTCTTGCGGGCGCTTGGTCTTCTTTGAACCCCTCACCTACCCGGCAACGCCGTATCGCCTGCCCAGCCTGGAGAACTGCAGATTTTCTGCTCTTTGTGTCCGAGAAGCATCAAACAGGTGGAAAAAGGGTACACCGCCCTCACCTCTAGTTTCCAGCTAGCAGACAAAGCAAGGTACAGCAACCCGAAGCAAAAACCGGAATATGTTGTTCATAGTGTTAGTGTCAGAGATTAATGCATGTTTATTATACTTGTTTGTTTCTTTTTAGGACGGAACATCGTGGTTTGGGTGAAGGTGTCTTTTGTCTCCCGGAAGGATCATCCCTATAGCCACCTCAGTAGCCACACTCCTATTCCGCAGAATGCCGGGCATTCCCAGCATGCCCGGTCTACTAATGTGACACGGACTGCCTTAGTCGGGTCTCTGTGGTCGTTTTCGTTGCGCCAGGAGCCGCGGAGACCGGAGAACCCCGCGGTCTTGGACCATGCGGAGGAGACCGGGAATCAGAGGCGCGGAGAAAGACGGGGGTGTTGGAAGGGTCTTGGACGTGGAGGACAGTTGTGATGGGTGACACTCAATAGAACCCACATGGTGACACTCATGCGGGCGTAACATGGATGGCATGGCCGAACTCGTTCGGAAGACGATGAAATATCATGAAACCATATTATGTATTAAATCCGAGTACCAAACAGGTGGTGAACTCCTCCACTGGGAGTACGGTCGGTGCTTTTTCCAAAGAGGAGGGACTCCATCCAGTCCACTCACTGACTTTGTGTTTGATCGCTTTGGTCCTGGTATATACTCGGCTGTGGCGCTAGAAGAGGGTGGCCGCTTCGTGTCAGTTTGAGATCTATGCGAATCTATCCCTTGGCCCAACAGAAGAAAACATGAAAACAACCCTTCACCCACTTGGTTACCCAGATGCTCCATGTATGGAATATATGCCTAAATTGGGGTGGTTTTGGGGTCAATGTAGACATATATGGCATACATGGAGCTTCACCCTCGGTTAGACATGCAAAATGACTTAATTTAAGCAGCTTAAGTCATACGGCCCATGAGTCGTTTGACTGGCCACATGCCATTGCCGTTGACTGCGCATGGCGACAGGTTCCGGGTTCGGACCCGCTTCGCTGTTTGTCTTCGTAGGTCTTCGTTCACCATGGTCATGTTGCATGCGTGGCTTACCCTGCCTTCAACAAACATGGAAGTGGTCCACCCCTGTTTGTCCTTGCTTTGAGGGAACCCCTGCTCTTGGGGGCTCCTTCAGGAGCCCTTCAATCAGCTAACCCGGTATATTCTTGAATTCTTGACAGGCTTGGGTCCACAACCTGCACCCTCCCCTTGATGTATGCTGCAAGTCTCTTCTCCAATCCCACCCTGCATGTTGTTTCTTTCGTGGTAGCCGAAGGCATTGCCTGAGACTCACCAATCCCAACCACCCTGCCCAAGACTTTCATGTTCTTGAGACCGAACGGCAGAGGCGTGAAGACCTCCGTGATCTTCCAGAAACTGCAACGGAAGATCGTGAAGATCGTGAAGGCAGCAGCTTCGCTTCTGAGGAAAGAAGAGCCACCGAAGAGGGCATGGGGCCAGCTGGAGAGGGGAGCATGAGCTTGCTCCTCCCAAGCCAGCAACGGAAGAGAAAGATGTTCCAAACATTAACATGACACATGATGTACCAGGAGTCACAGAGCTCGGGGTGGGTTTTAGTCCCATCCATTGAGTGGATGTCCTGGGCACCTTTATCCTCCATGTGACTGGTATGTGACTGGTAGAGTGTCGACGTGACTGTTCAGCTGATCTCCTTCGCGAGGTCAAAGCAAAAGCGAGGTGAAGAGCCAGGTGGATGAGAAGAGGCAAAAGCTCGACCAACTTCAGTCCTCCAGTCGCTCGGGCGCACCTGCAGGCCAGGCGCAGGACTACCTACATGTGGGGCGACTCTGTGGGGCGCTTTCCGCTTTCCGTCGATCGGGCCCGGCTGGGGCCAATCTGAGAGGTGCCGTGGCGACGGACCCAGCCATGGTCGAACAGAAGATGGGGGAAACCAAGGATGAAGAATCAGAGGCGGGACGGCACCAGGGTTCGGCGCCAAGTCTCATGGTCGGACCGTCGGAGCTGTTCTTGGAATCTTCAGAGCTGCCCAAGTCGCTCCTTCAGAAGCAGCACGTGGTTCCGGGAGTTGAATTCACGTGTGTGGATTCCAGTCAGATGAGTTGGATCAAAACCGGTGGATGCGGTGGATGTATTTTCCTGCGGATGGTCTCCATGTGTTGGAACCGGTATTTCGAACAACCCGACGGGAACACTGGACCGGACTGCACCTCAGGTGCGATCTGCCGCAGAGATCGAGTCTGCCGCAGAGATCGGGTCACGAGGTACTTTGAAGGCGCCCAGTCGTTGATCAGGCGCTCGTAGGTCAGGGGCGGTCGGGATCGGAATGAGTGGGGGCCCCTATCGGGGATTCGATGCACCAACAACGATTCGACATGTCCCTGCGGCCCTACACCGACTTCGTCGTAGCTCCTCAGGTTCGGTATGACTGGACCCTCCTGGCACCCACCCCAGTTGCACCTTCTCAGAAGGTACGACTGGAGGCCTAATTAGGGTGTGAGATTCGACATCAACCAAACAAACAAGACAGTGTTTTCCGTCTGCACAACTCTTCGAGGTGGAAAAGAAGCTCTTGGTGCAAACTGATCTTGATGCATCGCATAGCGAGCATGAGCGTGAGGAGAAATTGGAAGGTCACACTTTGGGGACCGGGAGGAGACACTTGGACGCATCACATGCCGTGGGAGCCCTACCCAACACGAAAAAGATGTTCAGATGTTGTGCTTATAAGATCTTATAAGAGGAAGTTTCGGTCTCCTGTGGTCCTATGGTTCCTTCAGGCGTGAAAACAGGGTAAGAGTGACTTTCTTACTTGCCCTTGGCTTTCTCCGGTCCTACCGCCAGCTCCGAGCTTTGCCCCAGCTCCGCGTTTTCACCTGCGCCCACCGGCCCAGGCAACGATGCCGATGGCAACGCGGGAGCAACGCACCTGGTCGAGGCCGATGGCCACGAGAACCGCGTCGCGGACGGTGGGACCGGGCGCCCGGTGCACGAGGCGACGACTGGGAGCCGTGTGGTGGACTTCATGTGGCCCGGCTGCACATGGTGGACGGGGGGGGGGGGGGGGGGGGGGTCGGTTTGGCCAAGAGCAAGCAGGGTGGTCGGGTCCCGTGGGCGAGTGTGGAAAAGAGATGAAAAGAGTGATGACGATGTTACCATGTGTGAGAAGAGCCGATGACACAAGCGATGTGAACCCCCCCGGGTGGCAGATCTTCCTAGACCGACTTGCTTCCAAGACCAGGAAGTTCTTTTCGAAAGAGAATGCTCAAAGAAGCGCACATCTTCTTAGTTCCGTTTTTACCCACTGGGGGAGGTTTGAGTGAGGACTTCGACGAGTCGAGTCGGAAAAGTTTCACGAGCTGGTGGGTTTCCTCTCAATGTTTGATGCACATGCCGAATTGATTCAGAGTTCAGGCTACTGGCTTTGTTTTCCCAGGTCTGCTTCCACGACGCGTGCCACAGATGCACGTGCAACGGCGGCGGACGCCGGTGGGGAAGACGATGCGCAGGAAGCAGAGACGAAACTTGGTCCAAACAAAAAAAGCCATCAAAGTTCATCAAAGTTCTGCATGTGTTTTTTCCCCCTAGCAAATATTAGGGCTCTTCTATTGAAAACCTATTTTGACAAGATTGGTCAATACCAGGACCCCCCAAGGGGTGTCTATCAATGGCCCGACAGGAGGTGATTCGAGGTGTCCAGAAAAATCACCCCGACGGTGGGTCCTGGTAGATAATTTGTCAACTTAGCTTGGTCTGACATCGGTCCATGTCACCTGGCCATTGCCATTAGGTTGGAGGCCATCGCTATCAGGACATCGGTCACTTGGTCTGAGGGCCAATTTCTCGTGTCCAAAATAGCGACTCGTCCAAGTGATCAGAGTCCCTGCCTGAAGCGGCTGCTACGTGGCCCAGCCGCTTTGCGCTTTGACAGTCTTGAATGGATGCTCCATGATGCTCCATGTTTCCCACAACATTTCAGAGCACACAAAAGTGAATCCAACCATATGTATACACCATATACCAGCACCACCCAAAGGGTTGTTATTAGATGGAAAATACATCTTCAGAGGGATCTATAAACCACCTAAGCTGGGTGGTGCTGGTATGTGTTCCTAAACCATTGAATTCCTTGCACTTAGGACGAGAAGCAGTGCTGGGCCGACTCGCGCTGGCATCACCGACAGCGCTGGCATCACGCCCGGCCGCGCAAGCTCGATGCTGGAGACCGAGGGGAGGAGCCCGATGCTCAAGAGCCAAGAGGCCGACACCAAGGACACCGAGAAAGAGAAGTCCATGAGCCAAGGAGAAGAAGTGGAGGATCAAGTCCGTGAGAAGTCCAAGTCCAAGTCTGCAGGAAGGAGTTCAAGTGCCAAGGAGGCGAGTGACTGGTGACTGGTGGACGTTTTGGTGGATGGAACTCAACCTCAATTCCAGTTTTCAAGAGAGAGAGAGAGAGAGAATGAGAGAGAAAGAGAGAGAGAGAGAGAGCGAGGGGAAACGAGAACAAACACAAAAACGAGAGAGAATGGGAGTCCTACTGAAGTCCACTGAAGTCATTCACTGAAGTCATCAGACGGCCAATCCACGGAGAACGCAGAACGCCCTGCAAGGATGAACTATGAGTTCTTCTCATACACAAAACTGGTGGTTTTCACTCCATTTCCATGATGATTCCAGGGAGGTCCTACTTTTGATAAAAGAGATTCTGCACAGACACGCCTCTTCAATACTGCGAAGTATCTTCACCTCAACCCCAGGAAGCCTGGATCACCTGAAAGTGAATGTATACTGGAGGACACTCCACTCCACATCTTCCAATTGCTTCTCTTTCTTTTTTCGCTACATAAGACCAGGTCGAGTCTGTAGCAAGCAAGGCCTTCGCAAGAGACATCCGGTGAAATCCGGTGGAACGTGTCACGTCCCGCACATACCTTCAGGATCTACTCGACAGCAAGGGTGTCATCACTTCACCTTGTGCCGTTCTTTCTTCCTCCCGAACCGGGCGAACCGAACTCGGGCGCCCCCCCCCCCCCCCCCCCCCCTCCTGGTTCGCTCGGGTCTAGACGCATGCACCGAGCCGTGATCCCGCCCAGCCTGGGTCCACGGCACCGTGCGCCCATTCCGCCGTGGAAGACCGATCCGTTCGAGCGCCCGCGGCGCAGGTGGAGCCGGAGGGGGTCGGAGGCGTCAGCAAGGTGTGGGTGGAAAGCTGGAGTTGTGGGAAAGTGCTTCAGGGCAGTGTGGCAGAAGGAGTGAGTGAGAAAGAACAAGTAAATCCCGACTCTGGGCTCAAATCCGTGGTGGTTGATATCAGGGACAGAGTCGACTGGGGATTTGAGCCAAGAGTTCTGTGGGGTTTACACCAGATTTCTAAAACGACAGACGACACCAACATTGATCTCTAGGACGTTGACCTGTTGAGGATGTTCTCGCTGGTAGAGTATGATCTTGGAAATCATGGGGGTTGTCCCCCCCCAAAAAAGTATCCACCATGAAACATGCGATGTGAGGAGTTCGAATGGGCCAAAACTGGCAGTCAAGAAGCTCATTCCTAGGATCCATGGATATCCGTGGCCTTGTTTTAATGGTGTGAATGTTGGATCCAAAGAACTCTTGTTTATACTAAGGGTTTTTGCGCTACACCACCAGGTCAACCATTCTTTCAATGGTCTTTGAAGGCTAGGATACTTATGCCCAAGAGAGACTTGAGGTTCACCTGCCGTACATGAGACTCAGGTAGACTGGTAGACGAGACAAACTCCGAGCCAAGGAGCTGTGTTGACCAGGTTATTGAGTATAAGAACGAAGAGTCACCTGGGTCACGAGGGCGTTTCGGGTGGGCTCGTTGACTGGGTGATTGATCGCTGGAGCACCTGTTTGGCATGATGATTTCAGGGGGCCGTATATCCAGACCCGATAACGATGTTAGAACACAAATAGGACCCGAGGGTCCTTGAAAGGTCCTTGAGCTAAGGGCGAAAGCCATTTGAACTGACTTGCGCCCTGGCAGGAGCCCATAGTTACAGCTGATACCAGCTTGAGCCTCAGGTGAGAGGGATCCTGAAGTTCATCAAACATGCCCGCAGACCGAGTCACACCTGAGTCACACCTCGTTTTTTTGGGCCGGGGCCAACCACGTGCGAAACATGTGCGTCACATGTGGCGTCACGGATAGGGTGCTCTTAGCATTGAGTCCGGTCTGTGATGTTTTTTCCGCATCGATCCGACGACTCGTGGGGTCCACTGTCGGATCGGTCCCAGGACCCATGCGATCACAAAGACAAATAGGACAGTCAGAGGGAATGCACAACCTACAGAGTCTTAAGTGACCGGGACATACCGGGACCATAGGACCCGGAATACCAGGGGTACCTATAGTCTAGTTCGGGTTCTTCAACCTCTGCTGGAAGGTAAATAGTGGGAATATATCTCTTCTTCGGCTTCGGATGAGTCCGGTCCACACTGCAGACCGCCGGCAGACGCGACGCTGGCACCAATGGTGTTTGTCAGGAAACCTGTATGCCAGACGTGGCGCCACCAGAAGTGTACACTGTACATGTCCAATAGGAGTTAGTTAGTTGGGTTTGTGAAGTTGGTGTCATGCGCCAACCAAGAGGATCATCGTTAGAGATCGATAGTGTTGGAATGTGTTGGAGGCATTCATTGGTTCAGTGGTTCATTCCTTCCTTCCTTCCTTGCTTGCTTGCATGCATGCATGCAGTCATTCATTCATTCGTTCGTTCGTTCATTCATTCATTAATTGTCATTGATTAACCAATTCACTAATTCATGCATTCGTTCGTTCATTCATTCATTCAGTGCATTTGGACATCAGAAGAGTCCCAGCACCATGGGTCCAGCTTCCTGAAATTTGATTGCATATCCTTTTTAAGACCTGAAACTGGGTGAAGTTTCAGCAAGGTTCTCAACCCCCAAAACAACTAGAACTCGTCATCCTCTTGAAGCAAGGCATAGTTGAAGTACAAAAGACATCGTGGAACCTCATGTAGCTCTTGGGATCCTTCAAATCACTTGACTGCCGATTCAAAACTCGTGTATGGGAACACCATGGCCGAAGCGAAACGAAGCTGGTGCCTCAGCTCCAAACACCTTTGGAGAGGTTCATCACATTCACAGGTTTTGGGGTTCAGGGAGCCCTGGCAGATCCTGGCAGCCTGTTTGCCTGTAACTTTGGAAAGGCTTTTTGTTGGACCAACCATGCACCTTTTCTGATTGACCCTCTTAAATTCAAAGACTACCCAAGTTCGAGCCCCTAGGGCCTAAGGGTCAAGGACTCAGATGTGAGCTCCTTTTTTCTCTCATTCCAAGGTTCAGATGTGAGCCAGGCGCGTGAAGTACGCTTTCACATCGACCTTCTTTCGTGGAGTGGAGAGGGAACAAGAAGGGTGCCGGCTTCATGGAAGATGATAGACAGATTTTCTTTTCGAATGTTAGCTTGGCCCGGAGGCTTCTTCATAAACGGTTTTGTGCGAACCCCACCCACTCAGCAATAAATCTGAACACTTCGTTAGCATGGCCTACACGCGCAATATCGTGCAACTCTTGCACATCAAATAAGGGTCAACGACACATAAAAAGAGACCAACCCAAAGATGCATAGGAGTTGGCTTTGTCCTAGATTCTAGACTCTAAAATATTCCAAATCAGGTTTGTTTCCCATCCTCCCAGCACTTCGAATCAGTGATTTGTCATGGCTTCGCGGCGATGAAGTGGCGTTTTTGTTGCACCGGTAGCGGCGTTTGCGTACGTGGCACGGAGGCTCCCAAAGTCCTTTGGGTTGGGGCACCCCAGGCAGCACCGCGTGGTGCCCTTGTTTGGTTTCCGCCGGAGAAGTAGTTCTGAGAATTGGAAAGGAGGGATCGTGCGGAAATGGCCATGGACATGTGCACGACTAGTGGACTATAGTGCGCACTTCTTTGTAGAGGGCAACCACGCTGCAGAGCTTCATGTTCCAGGTCAAGGTGGTCAAGTTGGTGTACTGTACAGTCCCCAGGGCTCCAACTACCCTCCTGAGAAGATGGTTGGGGTGGGTGCCAGGGGGGTCTAACCATCTGAGGATATGGTTGGAGCCCTAGACTCGGGAGTATGCAGATAACATGGGATTTGTACTACGAGTAATTGGTGCTGTTCACCGAAAAAAGACCTCCACCACCATCATGTTCTCAAACTCCACCACTGAGTAGTAGTAGAGAAGCTTCTGGTTTGTGGGGGGGGCAACATGGACCCGACTTCCTCCGGGAATTGAAAGAGTAACCAATTCCCGGAATGTTGGTCCCACGATGTTGTTCATGGGGTCGAAGTTCGTTGGGTCTTAGCCTGGGGTCTTGTGGGTTTGGAGTCCGGCACGTCCTGCGAGACATGTTGGTGTCCTGCAAGGATGTTCCTGAGTACACACCGGAATATAGGCATATATACTAATACCGATATATACCATATACCTGGACCTTCAAGGGGTGACCTGTTTTTAGATCCCTAAGTAGTGGGCTGGGGCTTCCATTGATGACCCCGACATGAAGGTGCTGGTAGTCATTGGTTGTGATCGGATGTTCACGTAAATTAACGTGCCTTGCATTCCTTGTTTTTTTGTCTACTTTTGTTCCGTCTTTATGTTGAAACAGTGCTCCTGCAATACCTTTGTCGTATTGGTATGTGAAACCGCGTTTCATTCATCTGACTTCAACCTTTGGTAGTGCAACCAGGCTCATCAAAATGAACAAATACTTTGTCTCAGATGTCACAGGATGCTGGATCTCCGGAACTCCTCAAATCGGAAAAACCGTTAAACACAGCTCCCAGTCTGGGCCAGGATCCCAGTCTGGCAGAGAAGCCGTTTTTTGGAAACGACCCAGGTGGAGCCAAGTGGAGCTGCTGCCACGTCCGGATGGCAAGGGCCGCTCTCCGCGCGTGCCTGGGCTCAATCAGAGAGCTCCATGGGATGCTTTCCGTGGATTGATTTGGATGTCGAGTACTCACCATGGTGACAGCCATCCAGGTGCTGAGACCATCCCCGGGTTGTGGGGGTTCATGCAACCACTAGGTGCCGAGCTTGCCGTTCTTGTTGTTGCCAGTATCAAGTATCCCTGTTTGTTAATCCTGCTCTTCCTACGATACTTAAAGATACTTAAAGTATCTTAAAGTGCTGAAGATTGCTGAAATGTCAATGTAGGATTCGGATTCCGGAATTCTATAACAATATATGTTCCGCACCGGAGATTGTCTTGGACTTCCAGATTTCTTGATCTGCCACTGTGGCCCATCCCGTCTGGTTTCAGCCAGTCATCGTCCTTCATCGTCAAAATCATCCCAAGCCGTACCTCGCAGCCCGAAGCGGCTCGCGGAGTAAGGAGAGGTGTTGAAGTTGGCGGAGGAGCAAACCTTAGGCACTCGGCTTGAGGGGGGGCCATGCTTTGATGGGTGGAACCCTGGCCCGGTGAACCAAGTGGGTTCTGGGAGCTGCCACCCGCGGAGCGATCGATTGGGTGGTTCTAGAGCTGGGAGGATTCTCCAGAACGTTTCCCAGCTGTGGTTGCGACTCTGTTTTTGGAAACCAGCTGGTGGACTGCAACGGGACGTGGGGGCATCATTCAAAGGTATGCCGGGATGCCACTTTTGTGCATTGGCCCACATAAGGATTGAACATACAACATCAATATGCATGTGCAAACAATTGCAAACAAATTTGATGCTTCAAAAGGATTTGAATGATCCCAGTTCTGGTCTTAAAATCATCACCCACACAAATCCAACATCTTTACACATGTGTTCGGCCGACGCTTTTGGGTCGTTTTCTTAGCCAATCTGCTCCAGGTCCAGATGGTTTGGTTTGGGGCCTTGTGGGGATCTCAGAAGAGGGGCCGAAAAGAAGACTCGTGGGATGGATCTCCAGGGGTTCCAACTACCGAAACGATACGAAGGTCTTCATGGACCCGGGGGGCACCCAGTCCCAGCTTCGAGATGCGGAGCGCGACTGGGGTGGTGTTGCGAGTCCAGTCCTCGAGCGAATCTTCCACAGTCACCCCCAAGGTCTCTGCTCAGAACCTGAAGGGTGCCTCCTGTGACCTTTGCGCTTCATTTCGGGAAAACACCATGTGCATGTGTTGGTAGAGGGCAACCATGTTAGTACGGGGGGCCGTGTCCACTTGCAGTTTGGCAGAGTGTACACTGCCCCTGCCCCCCTCGACTCACAGCCCTGGCCCTCACACACTGGACATGTTCACGGAAGTTTGGGATCAACCCACCGGCGTGGCAACGAGGCGATCAACCACCTGGTGCTCTTGGTCTTTTGCATAAGTATACCGCAGTAGACCTGAGCTGACCCACTTTTTGTTGTTTTTGTTTGGGCGAAACAACCATACAACACTTCAGAATGACCAGGAACCATGTTCTTTTCCACCACATCCTTATTTTGGTGATTGTTTGTTCATACATGTGTTGAGCACATGTCAATCAACAACTAGGTCCAAGTGTTGTTGAACGTACAAGCAGGATTGCAAGTGACGTTCGGAAGCAATCATACCTGCAAACTGGCCTCCCCCCCGCTGATCCTAAAGAAACTTGAAACACATGTTTTGATTATATAGGCAGGTATTGGGCATGGGCAGGTTTCTTGAATGGAGAGATCAAAAGGGATGAGTAGTCTAGGCAGGATGTCAGAAGGAATCTGCTTAAAAAGAAGAGGCAACCCGCAGAAGAAACCCATGGATCAAGATAAGACATGACACCCAAACATTTAAATACTAAAGTTGTGAGTTGGGGAGAGGCTAGGAAATATGGTTTTCAAAACATATTTTTTGTATTTATGAAAAAAATAAACACATTTATGGACAAAAAACATGTGTTTACTTTAGGAGTTTTTAATGACAAAGTTATGATGGTTAAATAAACTATTTTGTAATTTCTTGATGTGCTCAACAAATCTTAAAATTTTAGTCTAAAAAATGTAAAATGTTCATTAAAAATAAACACAACATATTCATAGTTTTTCCCGAATGCGTAGCGAAGGGTTCCCGTTTATAGTTGGGGGTCTGGGGGTTGGAGCTGTGTTCGCGTGGCTTGCGTCGTGTCGTCGTCTCTCGTCGTCTGTCGTCGTCTCTCGTCGTCTCTCGTCGTCGTCGCGTCTCAAATTTGCTGCCATTGGGGGAAGCTTTTGCAAGTGACTTTGCATGGACGTGTCACGTGTCAGTTGGCGCCGCTAATCCATTGTGATTTGCGTGACACGGACATGTCGCGCAAGAAACGTGATGCGTTTCGCTGCACAGGTGCAGCGTTTTGTGAGATCCGCAGATTACGGCGCAGTTCCATTGGGATTAGCGTTTGGAGAGTCGTGTTTTTGGGGTGTTGGATGTGGCCGTGCCATTGGGATTTGCGTTTCAGGGTGTGGCATCGAAGCTCTGTTTTCGTGACAAGTCTCAGCTGAAATGGCGATTTTGATGGATGGGAGTGTGCTCTGAACGGGTCGAAATCATTCCAAACGTGTGGTGTGGTGCAAATTTTGTTGAAGCTCACATGCGATGATATTGTCACTTTTCGTGGCAGGCGCAGGACTTCGTGCGGGATTGGAAGCGTGGAAGTGCAATTCTCGTGGCAGGCGCAGGGAATCGTGAGGTTGCGAGGTGTGAGGGAGGTGACATTTCGTGGCAGGCGCAGTACTTTGTGCGCGTTAGACGTGTGGATGGGGAAAGATTCGTGGCAGGCGCAGGGAATCGTGAGGTTGTGAGTTGTGGTAGAGGTGAATGTCGCTATCCCACAAGAGTGTCCTACAAGAGTGTCCCACAAGAGTGTCCTACAAGAGTGTCGTGTAAGAGTGTCCCACAAGAGTGTCCTGCAAGTGACCCACACAAGTGTTCTACAAGAGTGTCTCACAAGAGTGTCCTACAAGAGTGTCCCACAAGAGTGTCCTAGAAGAGTGTCCCACAAGAGTTTCCTAAGAGTGTCCCACAAGAGTGTCCTGCAAGTGACCCACAAGAGTGTCCCGCAAGAGTGTCTCACAAGGTGTCCCACAAGAGTGTCCCACAAGAGTGTCCCACAAGAGTGTCCCACAAGAGTGTCCTACAAGAGT